TAACTCTAAATGGATCAGAGACCTAAATGTAAAACCTCAAACCATAAGACCCTTAGAAAACACGGGACACACCCTTATAGAAATTGGAACTGGCATCCAATTCCTGAACAAATCCCAAAACCCACAGGCCATAAGAGATAAGATAGACCAGTGGGACCTCATTAAACTAACAGGCTTCTGCAAAGCCAAAGAAACCATTAAGAGAGCAGGGAGACAGCCCACAGACTGGGAAAAAGTATTTGCCAACTCCAGGTCTGAAAAGGATTAACAACTTGGATCTACAAGGAACTCAATGTGCTGAAAAGAAAAAAACAAACAACTCCATTATAAAGTAGGCAAACGATATGAACAGACACTTCTCAAAGGAAGACATCTGAGCAGCCAACAGACACATGAAGAAATGTTCAACCTCACTAATCATCAATGAGATACAAATCAAAAGCACACTGAGATACCACCTAACTCCAGTCAGAATGGCAATTATCAATAACTCAAAAAATAACAGTTGCTGGAGAGGGTGTGGGGAAAAGGGAACACTTCTACACTGCTGGTGGGAGTGCAAATTAGTGGAACCTCTGTGGAAAACAGTGTGGCGATTTCTAAAAGCTCTAAATATCGACCTCCCATATGACCCCGCAATCCCCCTACTGGGAATATACCCTGAAGAACTCAAATCACTCTATGAAGAAGATACCTGCACACATATGTTTATCGCAGCATTGTTCACAATAATTAGAACCTGGAATCAACCATGCTGTCCATCAAAAGAGGACTGGATTGAAAAAATGTGGTACATACACACGATGGAATACTACGCAGCCACAAAAAAGAACAAAATCATGAACTTATCAGCAACCTGGATGGAACCAGAGTCTATAATACTGAGTGATCTCTCACAGAAACAAAGATCTGAGTATCACATGTTCTCACTCATATAGCGTACCTTGTACGTCTATTGTAATAGTATGAGAAAAGGATTGACAGTGGTGGGAAACTATGGGGGTGGGAAGGAGGTGGGATTAAAGGTAGTAAATATCTGTCTGGGGACGGGAGGACAACCCCTTATCAACAAGGGTGCCTGAACGAAACATATTTGTATACCTCACCCTTAACTGTACTCCACAATACCAAAACAAAAAATACTGATTAATAAGAAAAAAAAGTCAGTCTCACTGTGTCACCCAGGCTAGAGCGCAGTGGCACAATCATGATAAAACCTCACTGCAGCCTCTATCTCAGGAGTTCAGGAGATCCTTCCACCTCAGCCTCCCTGGGACTACAGGCATGTGCCAGTATGACTGGCTAATTTTTTTTTTTTTTGAATTGGAGTCTCACTCTGTCACCCAGACTGGAGTGCAGTGACTGCTCCCGGCTACTGCAGCCTCGCCTGCTGGGCTCCGGCGATCCTTCTGCCTCAGCCTTCTGAGTAGCTGGAATTACAGGCATGTGCTACTACGCCTGGCTGATTTTTTGATTTATTGTAGAGATGAGGTCTCGCTGTCCAGGCAGGTCTCGAACCCGTGGGCTCAGGCAATCCACTCACCTCAGCCTCCCAAAGGCACGGGATTACAGGCTGAGCCACCGAACCCGGCTTGTCTGGCTAATTTAAAAATTTTTTTTTTTAGAGAGGATGTCTTGCTGTTTCTTAAGTTCGTCTTGAACTCCTGGTCTCAAGTAATTCCCTTCCACCTAAGCCTCCCAAAGTGCTAGGAATACAGGCAGGAGCCATGGCGCCAGGCCTCTGCTTAGTTTTTCATTTCAATGACTCCCTTCCAATATCTACTGGTACTGCCTCTGAAATACTCCCTGCTTAAATCTACACCTTATTCCTATGGAATCAAGTCCAGGCTTCTTGGCATGGCAGGAAAACTCCCCCTCCCTCCAGTCCCAAGTGACTCTCCAGCCAGCCACCCCTGCCTTCTGGCCACTCTGGACTGATGGGGGATCTAGTCACATTTCATGCCATCCTGCCTATGCTTGCACTTGGTCCTCTGCTCAGGTCACCCTTCTCCCCGTGGATTGGCTAAATATATGCTTCAAGGTCCACAGTTCAAATGTCACTCCTCACTGCGCCCTCCTCCCTCTAGAATGAATGGCTCTTTGCTGTTCCCTAGATTTGAATTCATGTTCCCACTATATCATTTATTTCAGGGCACTTTCACTTCTGTCTTGTTTGTCTGCCTCTCCTCAGGAACATATTTGCTTCTTTTGCTCCTAGAACTATAAATGGAACAGGACAAGTTCAACAGATGTTTATTGAATTCAATTGTTTCTTAAATTATTTTACATAATCTCAAAGAAACAATAATTATCTGGCAAACTTTATTCCAAGTACTCGGAAATTCTATGCTGAAATAATTGCATTTTATAAACTTTTCAATTATCTGTATTTTAAACCATGCCACAGGTTTCCTAATTTTTCTTTTAAAAATTTTTTTCCCATTGAACAAGTAGGAAATGCTAATTTTTCTCTTGATGACATTAGCACTTCGTTGCACAGTAGTAATACTAAAACTTCATCAGCAAAATTTCAGTCACTTTTTTCATATGCTATATATGTGGGATGTCTTTAACCTAATAACTTTTGAGAAAGCATTACTATGAGTATTTCAAACTACAAACTCTTCCTATGCACTGGGTGTGTGAGTGAGGATGTGTTAAGGCTACAATAGGTAACAGCAAGTTACAGGTATATGGAAAAGACATGGATCCTACTCTCAAGGAGTTTATAGGGAGAGTGAAATGTGTGCATGCTAGCACACAAAATACCTATGTCTAATGTTTTACCACTTAGATTTCTATCAGCTTTTGAAGCAAAAATAAGGGAGGGATCTTTCTAGCCCTACATATATATATGTGGTATATACATAAAAGCTTACATTCTAGATGTATGCTTTTGATATATACATACATTAAGAGAGATAAAACTAGCTTCACTTAAAGTATCTAAACTTATATTTACTCATATGTAAACTGACTGTCTAATAAGAGGCAGTTTAAAGGTCAACTCTCTGTCCAAAGCTGTCTTCACTAGTACTTTGGTTTAATACTAACAACCAGGTTGTAGGAATTTAGCCTCCAACCCAACACTGGGGAACACATATGTTATTCAGACAAGGTCAACAGAAATAAAGTCAGCAAATTCCACATACGTTGTTATTTGGGGAAAGGTTGAAAATAATTTCAGTAGATAGAGTTCTTGTCTTCATTTTTCCCAGTTTGTAGAGGTGAACTGCTTTGTTTGCTGCCACAAGTATCTGAAATGGATCGACAATCTACCAAAGAGAGCAAAAAGAATTACACACAGAGACCCCGGAGCCCTCTGAAGACACATGCCCTATCTCATGGTAGCTCCAGTATCAAGTAGTTTCACTTCACTATTCTTGTGGACATATTTCAAAACTATAATCTCAAGGGCCTCAGAAGTCCTCAAAACTATGCTATGACACTGATATCGTATGTAATAGATGAGGAAACCAAGGTAAAGAATGTCTAGGTCTGAATCCCAGCTCTGTCACTTGCCAAATAAGAAACTTGTGTAAGTTCCTGAGTGTTTTATTTGTTAGAGGTGATAAAATAAACTTCCCTTCATGGGGTTGTTGTGAAGAGTAAGGGGGTCAGTATATGTAAAACACTTAGTACCATGCTAGGAAAGGAGTAACTATGCAAAGGTTAGCTATGACTTGTTTAAAGTCATATTAAATGGCAGAGCTGGGATTAAATCCTGGTAACATGATCCCAACAGTGTGTGTTCTTAATCATTATACTATATTTCTTCAGCAAAAACCACATCATTAAGAACTCTCATAAGATAAGAACCTGACAACCCAAGCATTTGCCATGTCAGAGCCAAACCACAACCTATCCTATTTACTAGGCAGGGACTGGCAATTCTGCCTCCACTCACCGTCAAATTTCAAGGTTGGTCATCTAACATGGATAATAACTTTTCAAATGAAGATGAAAGAATTTTAGGCTAATCTATAACATGACAAAAAATTAATACAGGCTGGGCTTGGTGACTTAGCCTGTAATCCCAGTACTTTGGGAGGCCAAGGTGAATTGATTGCCTGAGCCTGCAGGTTCGAGACCAGCCCGGGCAACTTGGCAAGACCTCGTCTCTGTAATAAAGTAGAAAAATTAGCTGGATGTGGTAGTGTGCACCTATGGTTCCGGCTATTTGGCGGAAGGATGTCCAGAACCCAGCAGGTCGACGCTGGGGTGGCCTCGTGAGTGTGCCACTGCACTCTAGCCTGGGAAACAGAGTGATTTTAGCTTATTTATTTATTTGGAGACAGGGTCTGGCTGTTGTCCAGGCTAGAGTACAGTAGTGTGATCACAGTTTACTGCAGCCTCAAACTCCTGGTTAGTTTAAGTGGTCCACCTCAGCCTCCTGAGTAGCTAGTACTACAGATACACATCACAATGTCTGGCTAATTTTTTCTTGTTTAAAGAAACAGGGTCTCACTATGTTATTCAGACTGGTCTCGAACTTTTGGCCTCAAATAATCCTCCTGCCTTAGCTCTAATATATGTTTAAATGTATGGTATGGCTCATTCATTCTCACACTTTGTACTTACCACTGTAGGATTAATCAATGAACCATCAATGGCGCCTTCCATGGCCTTTTTTCTTAGGTCTCCTGCATTTTTTACATCTTTAAATAACAGAAGGGTCACCTTGCATTCAGGAAATAGGTCCAGCTGATGTGTTAACTGCATGTCACAGGTAAGTTGGATTTACTGCATAAAACCAGAGACCCATATTTTCCTTCTGTTTAAAAAGTAACATTATAATTCATTTAATAAACATTCTTGCTAACAAATAAATGAAAACAATTTTAATAATGAGATGATACAATTGTTAATCTAGTAAAATCCACCCCAAAAGCCTATTTAGCATCCTCATGAGATGTTGTCTTCCTAGCTCTGATGGGCTGTTTCTAGCTTCTTTACCATTCCTGGAAAAAAGCCCAGGGAGCTAGCTGGTCTCCTACTCATCCAAATCAGACAGGCCCTGATGTATGGCTGAAAGGCTGTTTCCTCAGTTGACATTTAGGAAACTATTGGACTTTTTTGGATAACAGCTTATCTATGGTATTAATGAAAACTTACTCCATCTTACCTTAACTTTCTGATCTCATCATTTTATTTCTATTTTAGCAGGACCTAGACACAAACATTAAGAAAATAATTTTAAAAAATAAAGTATCACACTTGACCTAAAGATATTCATCCCATACATGGAAATTAAGCAGAGAGGGAGGTATGATTATTAAATAATCAATAATATTGGTCTTCTCTTAGCTCAGGCAATCCACTCACCTTGGCCTCCCAAAGTGCTGGGATTACAGGCTGAGTCACTGAGCCAGGCTCACAACCATATTCTTGAGTAGATACTGAGTTCTACAAAAATTTAATCTTTAAAACAATTTCAGTCTTTGCGGGCAATTTAATAGGTTCATTTTATTCTCTTACCTGTAGGTTTCTTTTCTAGAACTCTTTCTCAAGAAATTAATTGGAAATCGAAGGATTACAAGGGGACTCCAAAAATCTTGTACTTTATAAAAAATCATGCATATTCTTACATGCTTAAACTTCAGTCACCTCCTTTTGTTGCAGTACACCTATTGAGAAACTTTTTCCACTGCTCAAGAGTTTCTGAACTAAACAATTTTGATGTGTTTTAGTGCTTCTGCCATTTCTTTTGCTGAACACTCAGCACGATGTGGGTAGCTGCATTGTCATGGTGGAAGAACCAGTCAACTGTTTGCCACAACTCGGGACATTTCTTCCACAAATCGTGATTCAACCTTCTCAAAACTTCCAGATAAGAACTTTGGTTGATTGTTTGATCTGGATAAACAAGTTACAAGTGTACTTCAAGGGGTCTGTCTGCCAAAAGATAATTACGGTATTTTTTGAGTCTCTCTTGAATATGTTTCTCATAATTTTAACAATGAAAGGTTAAAAAAAAAACCACTCTAGCCAATAACAGGATTGGTTGTGACTAACCATCAAAAAGTGTGGTCTTGATGATGTGTGAAAACAGCAATAAATAACATTAAGTAAAAATAACTGAATGGAAAACAAAACATAAAATGTGGTCAAATTGTGGGATTTGTTTTTTTTTTTTTTTAAAAACTGCACATGAAGAAAAAACACTGAAAACACAGCAAAAAGTTAAGAAGTTATCTCCAATTTGGTGGAACTACATCTGACTTTTTCTGTTACAAGCAGAAAAAAAAAATTGTGAATGTCTTGGCACACAGTTGTTCAATAGTTAGTCATGCGAAGGTCCAATTGAAAAAAAACAAACACACAGAAAGACATAATTAGAATGATCTCAATTGTATAAAAACATGCAGTCAACAACAACAAAAAGACGTGAAGAAAACAGCAAAATATGAACATCTTGGGTAGAGAGAATATTAGTTGATTTTTATTTTCTTCGATAACAAAGAAAATATTTTGTTGTGTACGTTGATTCTTCTACAGTGAGCACACAAGCAGAAGTACATATAATCAGGCAGGCAAAAAAATTGTGGTTTTTGTTTTAACACCGAGTGGGAAAGAACCCTTAGAAAACTTCAAAATAGTTTGTTCTTGTTTAGTGTGATTCAGTCCTTTAGGCCAGAAACTTGGCGTAATGGTTGGATAGCTACCTCTTATGTTAACCTCGTATTCAAGGCATAAAGTCCTGAATTTTTGCCTCCCAAAGAGAATTCTGATGCCTCCACTTCTCTCCCACATCCTAGACCACCCCCTCTCATCTCCAGCAGCGGCCCAAGAGTGGTCTCCTCACTTGCAATCGTCGCCCTCCTGTAACGCAACCTTCATGGTGATCCTTTCAACGTGTCAACCAGCTCTTGCGGTCCCGCTGCCCTTACGACCAAGCCCCGACTGTGTGTTCACCGCGCCGCAGACTCCACGCTGCGGCCGCCCGCCTCTTCGGCTCTGGTCGCAGCGATCTTCTCGCAGCGTCAAGCCACCCAGCGGAGTCGGGATTTCTTTCGGTCAGGCGGCTCCCCTGACTCGCTTCCCTCATCTCTTGGCCTCATCCCTGCCTCCCTCCCACTCCATCTGGAGTCCTCGGTGGCGCGCCAAAGCCGCGGGACTCGCCCCTCAGGCTTCACAACGCGGAAGCGCGCGCCTGTCGGCCTCCGTCTCACTCACGCTCAGTTCTCCAGGGGCCGGGTTACTCTGTCACTTCCGTGCAGCATTCCCCAAGGATGCCCGGGGGGGGGGGGGGAGCGCTTCACAAGTATCGGGGGCGGG